CCCCACTTTGTTTAATAAAAATACAGCTCCTACACTACATAAAGATCTGTTTTACTTTAAAGAATGCAATTAACACTTTTATTGAGTGCTACCATTTGCAAAATGCAATATACATGACCCACTGACAATCATCACCTAATGTAAGGATCAATCTTGTTTGGTAAAAATTCATTTACTGAGAGAAAAATGAGCAGTGCTGATAAAGTTATAAGGGGGGGTAATTTACCTTGAATTTTATAGCAAATCTATAACATTCAATAACTTGTGTTCTGTCACTTAAATTCCTTTACAGAGCATTTGGTTTTCAGAATAATGTCAGTGCTGCAGCGTTTTGATTCACTTTTGGAATTGGATCTGCTAAAAACAATAATCCAAGCTAATTATCAGTTTGTCACAGATTATCATAACTCTAAACATTGAGAAAAACTTGAGAGTTCAGGTGTTTAATATTACCTACCAAAAGTTAATTCTCAGAAACAAAGAAAAAAATAGATTTCCATCCCCCTTTCCAACACAGGCTATTCATTTCTCATTACTTTTTCATTATCAAACAAAGAATAATTGTAGTAATATCAATTTCCTTTAATCTCATATACATGCAGCTGAGTTACCATTTTTATAAGACAATATAATTAGTGAATATTTTAAAAATAGAAGAAATATAGATAGAATGTGGCATCTTTCTGAAGATCTACTAGAAGAAGAATGATTTCACAGAAACATTTAAGTTAATTTAAATAGACTCAATGTGAAGAGAATTACTACAGATTATTTTGGTAAAACGCTTAATGGTTTTAATGGTTTATATTGTTTTGCTATTTCAAGTTATAATCAGAAATCTAATGCTTGTATATGCCCAATAAATTGATATATTTTAATGTCCTTTAACACAGATTGCTTGTGAACATTGTATCAGCTGATATACTAATGTGTGCAAGATAATTTATAATATTTTTCTTATTTTCATGCTGGTGGAGAATCTGATTGCCAGTTAAATTGTATTTTTCAAGCAATTCCATGAGGACCTCTAGCAACTCTGGCAAATAGAACACTCATTTGAGGTAAGATACCTGAGAAGCCTACTTAGAAATACAATGCCAGTTTTTTAAAGCACACATTGAATTTCACAACTGAAGGAAAATTCATCTCTTTTTTTATTAAATATATTCATATATCCTTTCATTCTTAAAACAATCATAAGTCTCTGGTTTCTGGTCCAGCATATAAGAAGCTTAGAAGTCACCGCTCCTTTAATCATAAACATAAAAAGCAGAACAAACTGAAAATCAACAATTTTTAGATCTGTCAGAGAATTGAGGTCACAGGGCAAACTGTTCTGCTCAATATCAGAGAGATAGTCAGGCAGATGTATTTTGCCTGAATTGTATTTTGGCAAAGAATCATATTTTTCAGAGAATCATAGCTTATCAGAATAGAAACGAAGGTGCAGAAATCACTGCTGGAGCCAGTACTCCAGTTAGGAAAACAAATGGTAATTGATAAAACGGTGGAGGACCAGTGCCGATACACTTGAGAGTTAAAAAGTTCAGGGGGTGCTCAGTCTGAGGAAAGCTCCCATACTTTCATATATTTTATCTCCAGGAATTCTACCATGTTCTCACAGTGAAGACAGATGAAAATCCCTTTGTGCTTCCACACAGGAGAGAAGAATAACCATCTGAAATATTGCTGGAGCATTCTGTTCTTAACAAGGCCTGACCTCAAGGTAAATGATTTCACCAGAGCCTCATTGGTCTGGGGAAATGAAATACCCAACTCTAGGCCCTGAAGCGTTCTTAGTGCACCTAAGGGGAGATGGAGCTGAGATGCACACTGAGGGTCACAGCCCAGAGGTGAGGTGCAGGCTCGCTAAGACAGAGGCCAACTCATAGGACCTTTGAGAGCTATCTCTCCCCCCACACATCAAGAGTGCTCCTTTATAATCACAGGGGATTACAACTGAAAGAACTTCACAGTTCAGATCTATTTAAGAAGTTTCCAAGGAGACTCAGGGATTACAGGGAGAAAAAAAAAAAACATGGTTATCAGAAGCCATTTTAGCCTCTGACTCCTGTAGTTAGAGCAAAGAGTAAACATGGCCTGACTCCTAGTCAGATAACAATCAAGTCTCACACTAAAGGCCTATTTATTTCAGTTACTTTTATCCAGCACATGATATCTGGCTATAAGTATTAAAAAATCACAAGGCATACTAAAAGACAAAAGCACAGTTTAAAGAGACAGAGAAAGTACCCAAACCTGACTCAGCTATGGCAGACGTTTTTCAATTATCAGACTAGGAAATTAAAAAAAACCCAAAAACTTGATTAATATGCTAAGAATTTCAGTAAAATAACCTCAACAATGATGACCAAAATCAAAGCACACATATTATATTCTGTGTTATCATCCCTGCTCTTCAGAAGCTACGTCTATCAAAATAGAGCAATAAGCAGATAAGCAATTATACTAGAACATGCTAATTAATACAATGTTTAATCTCTTCCCATCTATTCCATTATTAGAATGCCATGACTCAACCCCTCAGTCAGTTGCCAATTATTCTCTATGTCCACTGTTTTCATGTTCACCTAAACTCTACATGTACACTTAATCCTTAATCCTGAAGCAAATCAATTCAGTTGTCTCTAATTCTTCTAACTGCTTTGTTTCTTAAGCCTTTCTCAAATTCTATATTTCTGTGAATGACAGTATTTTTAAAGAAAGTAAATTTGATTATTTCACCATAATTATGATTTTTATTATTTAATGTCTCATTTAATCAAAGATTAGTTGGGGGACAGAGAAAAGAAATCTAAAAAGTAATTATTCAATGATCTTATGTATTTGTCATACCTGTTTTCAAAGTAATTTTTAATTGTATTCTTTTATTTCAATATTTATGAGTCTAACTTGATATTAATATTTCTATCATTCAAAGAAACCTTCTTTGATTTTTTTATATAAGGAGGACATTTTGCTTCTTATCACAATTAATAATATACATGCTATTTTAAAGGGTATTTCTAATTCAAAATGTCTATATAATTGCTATAACATTGATATAACATTTAAATATTAAATTATTTTTAATAAACTAAATTTTCTGTATCTTTACTCATTTTAGAGCATAATTAATGCATTAACAAAAACAGCATCTTGACACTATCCCTTATGATAATCTTTAAGTTTTATTTTAGCTTTCCAGTACTTCAGAGAGTGGCTATAAGAATACAGTAATACCTTGGTTTGCGAGCATAATTTGTTCTGGAAACAAACTATTCATATTGCAAGACATCACTTACTCACCATGTTAAACTGTATTAGAAATGTTTGCTCATCTTGAAGAACACTCACAAACCACATTACTTGCAATCCAAGGATTTACTGTATCTATTTTAATTTAATGTATTTATTAAATGCCTTACTAAAATGTAAATTATTACATCTGAAACACAATACTTTATTTAGTAGACTTGTAGTTTTATAAAACTATACTTTTCAGAACTCGTACATTTTTTAACATACATTAATGCATTTTTCCTTTGGATTTGATATTTTTATTAAAAGAGATAGTACAAGTGTTCATTCATATTTTCAATATGAAAAAGAACATATCCCAGGGAATTAATTATTTAACAAAATTTTAAGGATGTTTGGGAATAAATTCTTTGTGTTAGATAAAAACATATCTATAAAATGAACATTTATTTATAATTATTTGTATAATTATAAACTTAATTATTTAGATTTCTATATATCAGGCTTCATTGGCAGGGGAATATAATTAAAGAAGTAATATATTTTAATTCTTTTCTTTCTACTGACACTTTGAGGAAGCCATTATTGTGTAATTAGAGTTCTCATAAAATTAACTTCTTGGCACCAAATCCTCCCACATTCAGGTGTCAGGGTGCCTGAAATTCTTCATCAAATATCTCTCTAAAATCACTAAAGGAAAAACTTTTCCCCAGAGGAAAACTGAGATTGGAGGACTCTAAGAGAAAGGAAGATGATAACTGTTCCAGCTTACCCATAACCTTCCCAGACAGATGAGACTTGGAAATACCCTTCAAAAGGAAAGAGTGTCTGACTTAAGTCAGGCTTTCTCAAGTACCTTTGTTTGGATGCAAGCATTGACCATTTTCCTATTCAATTTCTTAACCACCTCGGGAGACTCCTGCCTTTCTGATCTTTCAGCTCTGAGGAGTCTCCTGCTGCATTCATACTTGTACATCTTCCTTAGGCACTGGCCACACCTCACCTTTCCTTAAAGTCTGATTCCTTAATCTTGCACTGAGTCACCTGACTGTATACCCTCTCTAATTATTTAGTTTTAACCTCAGTTAATACTGGACTATCTATTAATGATATTTATAAATAAACATTTAAAATTCCTGGCAGCACAGTCTCACCAGTCATCATTCCCTTACTATATTCCTGTGTTTTGGTGAGCTTTAATAAGAATTGTGGTCAAAAGCTATTTTTTAAATTTGTTTAATAGCGATGTTTCTACCAAGGTCGAAGTCTACTCTAACATTAATGCAGTTCAGACCAATCCAAATTTACCAAGGAGTCAGATTCATTCTCCATGGACACACAGTACTGACTCCAACCCTGAAGTAGTGCTATGTTCTTAGGCAAAACAGAGGTTCTGCCAAGATCCTGACAATATTAAGTAATTCCTCTACTGGCATCCTCCTTCCAAATGTATTAAAACATTAAAGGACAATACAGTAAATCACTTGTATCATAGTTTGGATCAATTTATCAGAATGATTTTTTTCTTGGAAAAAAAAGGGGCTGAGGGTACACGTGATGGATGGATAAGAAGGAAATGGGGGATGCTGAGAAAAGTGTAGTGTATACAGACAGAGAAGGAGAGAAGCACTAAAATGAATTGTTCCAACCTTGTTTTTCACCATACAATATTCTATTATTTGCCATATTTCAAAGACAACAAAAAAAGTATTAAAACAAAAACCACTAATAATATTTACCATAAATCCAGGTTTGCTTAAACATGTGGACTTGAAGCCAGGTTCAGTTTCTGTGCATATTCCATGAGCACATGAGCTGGGGATGCTCTCAGCAAGTTCCTTCTCACAATGATGTCCTGACCATCCTATTAAGCACAATCACAAAGCAGATACTTAATTTTTTTTAATAATGATAATAGAATCATAGTATACACACGTGTACCCACACACACTTACTGTTTGTTATAACTGTGCTAGGTGTTTTATATAAACTATTGCAGTTTATCTTCATAATCATTCTATCTGGTTGCTATTCTTACTATCTATTGAGTAGATGAGAAAATTCAACTTAGAGAAGATACTTTGCCATAAAATCAATTATGTAGAAATGGAAGTAAGTACATGTGAAATAAAGTTTTGGCTTGTACCTATGATGCCATTCTATGTTACACGTTTGGATGTCTTGACCTATTTTCTTTGGAATAAACACATAGAAAGCAATGGAATAAGGCTCCATACTTCCATTTAATATGCTTCTTAAATTCAAAGGAAAACAACTACTACAGATTTCTAGATATGAAGTATTTTCTTGTAATCCCTGTAGTGTTTTACAGTTAGTATATGCTAAAGTGTGATTTGATAGAAGATAAATATTATATATCTGTTCAGATTACTGCTGGCTATAAGAATTTTCTTTAATGTCATGATCTAATTTTCCATACTAAAACACCATATATATATATATATATATATATATCAATTGTTTGGCTTTTGCCAGCATTTCTCACCAACCTGGCTACCAACATTGTTAAGCAATTCACAAAGTAATATCAGAGCTATGACTTACTAGATACATATTAGGAGCGTTTGTTTAAAACATTGACTCCTTCCTATGTGGCAACTATTTATAATGAATCTTAATATGTTTAAGAACATTTGAACCTGAATATATCTAAATATACCATTGCACATAGGGACAGTCAGTACACTTAGAGGCAGCTTTCACTACTCACTGACTACCTATGTGTACTATAATTGCAACTTTAAATTTCTTCTTTATTTTTCTATGTATTATCCAGCAACATTTAATCTGGCTGTCAGAAAATGAGGGCTTAGACTTGTTCCTACTTAGCTATATATTCTCACTGTTCTTCCGTTATAAATTCAAAGAGAACGATTAAATAAGTATTCTGGAGTGCTTAGAAATGATTTAATACAATATTGCATTATAGGAAGAAAAATATACAAGTTTAAAAGATTTGGCAGAGCCCAGATCAAATTTAGAAGCAGCTGCAAAAAGATTAAATTTACCAAATCCTTGGCCAAGACTCTTTCTACTTTGTTATGATCTTTCATATGCTGAACTGACTGTATCTATTACTACTATGAAGACTAGAACAGGTATTACAGAAGAAACACCTTTGCAGAGCTTATAAAAAGTCACTATGACCAGTCATTAACATGGTTGAATCTCAAAAATGTATTGTTGAACATAAAAGCACATTCCATAAAAAGACATTCTAATAACCATTCTCACAAAAGTCAAATACATACAAACTTAATAACATTGCTTGGAGATACATACATATGTAATAAACCTCTAGGATACTAAGGGAAAGTTGAATATGAAATTCAGAATAGTGCAGAATTAATGAACTCCTGGAATTATTGCCAATATTTTACTCCTTGAAGCAAATGATTGGTACACAAAGGTTAATCATATTATTTTATATAATAAATTTGCATTAATAGTATATTCTTTTGATTGAATAAAACATTTCACAATATATTTTAAACAATTGAAAATAATAATGTAGTTTTCCTCTTGCTTTTAATATAAAGGATATTAGAAAGATTTAAACCAAATGATGTGAAATGTGAAAGAAAAAAAACAATTCACCAGACCAGTTAAAAAGACAGGAAGGCTTTATTCACGAATGTTGCAATAAGAGAGAGAGGGGCTATTGAAATAGGGAAAGAGATTGAACTGAACTGTCTTGAATCAAAGGGAGGCAGGAGGATATTTAAATGCTGGGGTGAGCTATTGGGAAAGTATTGGAGGATATTGGGCTGGGGGCAAGTTGGTCAATATGCTTAGGCCATCTGTGTTTGCTAATTGTCACTTATTGACATTAGGCTCCAACCCTCTCACAGAGATTGGGAGAGAGGGGCATTACCTCCTTCCATGACTTTACTTCAAAGGCTTGGATACCAGTTCCTTGAGAAAGACATTTCTGGGTGATAATACTGACAAGGGGCTGCAACAAGGTTTACATCTCAAAGGCGCAGAGAAAGAAATTACAATTATAAGTTTTCTAAAGTCAGTGCTCTAAGGGAAGGGAGGTCAGGGGCCCTGAGTCATGAAGAAGCCTGTCTACAGTTTAGTTAAGCCGAAGGGAACATTAAGGCCATCTTGGTCAAAAACAATAAAGTAGGATAGAAAATAAGAGCTCAGCGCAGGAAACAGAAACCACTCTAGGTATTTGGGCAAAGTGGGCCTTCACAACAGGGAATACGATGACTACAAAATTATTAGATGGAAAAGCAGTAGGAATAATTCGAAGAACCAATGATATGACTCACCGAGAGATGCCACCTCAGCCATAATCAGAAAGATGAGAAACATAAAAACCGCCATTATTATTGAATTCCATTGACTAACAGAGGGACGCTGGGGTACCAGGAAGCTTCCCCTTCAACCTCTCCGGCTGCCTCTCCCTACCATGAAGCTCATGGCTGCACACTGGATTGCAGAGTCTGACTGATGTTCTTGCCACAACTGCATTTTAATATATACAAAATAAGTGACGTGATAGTGAAATCTGCTGCAGATAATCCCACATCCATGACCTTCTTCACCAGCTGAAACTGCTAAGAGATCCATTGGTGGAACTCTATATTTACAACCTCAGCAGTGAGGGAGTACATATTGTAATTTTTAATTTTCTTGTCTCTGAAGTACAGAAACCACAATAGACAGGAAGGGATGCTGAGTGACAATCATACTCATCAAAAGTAAAAAAGATAGATGTCCTTGTTTTGGTGTGGGCAAGGTGATGCTAAGTAACGAGAAGAGAATATGGGAATATAAAACAGGCAAATGAAAATCCACTGGGTGAGATTTAAAAAAAAAGGTTCAGAAGCAGAAGCAGAACTGAAGAAAATGTCCTTCGAGACCCACGTAGATGTGATGTCCATTTGTAATAAGGTAACCAGATATTCACAGAATACTGTTGGGTGATGAAAAATAAATAATCCAACAGCTTTCATCAGCAATCCAGAATAAAATGATTAAATCATTATGATGTTAAACTCATAGTACTAATCTATTGATAGCATCTATTGACACACAATAGAAAATAAATGCTTACAAAGTAAATGATGTCATATAAAGCAGGTGTGAAATAATGAAGAGTTTAGAGGTCAAATGTAATAAAAATAACAAATTAAACTTATTTTTAAGTTGATGAACAAAACAAATCTTTAAATACATCAATATATACAACTAGAATACTTACCAGTTTTAATACCCCCATTCTCTACTATAATATAGCATTTATAATAGAGCTTATTAATGAAAATAAAATTCACTATTTCAAAGATTTATATATTTTACTTTCAGTTCATTTTCCCTCTCAGCATCAGCTAATTTGCATCTAATCTGAGGAAAATAAAATAAAATTAAGCCTAAACCTAATTCTGTCTTACCAGTTAATATGTTACCTAGTAATTGGATAACATGAATTAAATTTGATTTTCTTAGTCTAACCCTATTTAGAAGAATTGATTTTTACACCTAAATTTTCATGAAAACACAATAGTATGTACTCTATTTCATATTAAAGATCATTTCACTTTTCATGAGTCTTGATCAAAAGAAAAAAATAATTCTGTATCTCTTATGTTCAAATACAAAAGTCCTATCCATGACAATAATTGTGAGAACTCATGGCAGATATTATGCTTGCTTCTCTGCTTCCTTGCCCTAAGGACAATGCAGCATTTCCACTTCAAAATGAATAATGCTATTTTAAGAGTAAAATGTGTATCTGTATTTTATATTATCAATAATATAAAGAATGAGCACAGTAACTGCCCCAGGGATTCAGAACAACCCTGGGTGAAGCATTCACATTTGCAGTACAGAGATTGTTCCCTTCCCTTTTAATTTGCTCATAATGGGATAAACTGTGGTTTCACATACTGAGTGTTCAGCATTTTTTATAATCCTATAAATGCGATTCTGTGGGCTAAAACAATAGGGTGTTTCACTTTGCAAAATAATCTGAATTCTTGTATTGATACTTCCATGGAAATGAGCTCACTAGCCATGGAAGGCACTACACAGGGAGAGGATGAGCTCTGAAATTAAGTCTATCCTGAGTGCTGGTCCGGCTGTACTCTGCACAGAGATCTCATGCAGAGAGGAGGAGTGAGTTCTGAGATCCAACATGTGCTCCAATTGTCTAGCATTGCACCTTGTTAGTTTGGAGGAAAGGGGAGAACTATCTAATGTGTTTGCTTACATAGAGGAGGGGGGCTTTATGCTAACCCTGGCCCTGCCTGAGATGACACAAATTGGCCAGCATCATAAATGGATTGTATTTTTTCAATACTTGCAGAACACTTCATGAGGACCCATCAGAATACATCCCATCAGATGGGATGTAGTGATACAAAACTAAATAACATTTAGAGTATCTTCTAGCCCACTTATATCCAGTTTACATTTAAGTTGAGTTTTGCAGAAAAAAAAATATATATATATATATATATATATATATATATATATATATATATAATACACACACACACACTTGGGGAAGAAACTGGCATTTAATTTTTATTGTGTTCTGTTCAGAATACTGCAGGAGTCATGAAGCTGTTGGGACTAAAAAGAAGAGGGGAGGGAAACTAAAGATAAAATCACAAAACTTGAGGTACAGTGCAGGAGCCACCCGTGATGGAGGAAGAGTAGTTGTTACATGAAGACAAGGGAATTCTGATGATTGGCGGTATGGTGTGAACTTAAGGAGGACTCCCACAACTGATTAAAATAGAAAATGACTATAATTCATAATGTTCAACTAATTTAAAGGCAGAAGTAGATACCTCGTGAAAGTAAGTTTCCATACAGAACTGTGTATAGTAAGAATAATGGCATGAATTAGACCAGAGCCGAAGTAAAATTACCAACACTATTTAGGTTGGTTTCCTCCATGGATGAGAGAGAAGAGTGAACCTTTATAAACCAAATGAATCAACCTTTGTGTCTTTCTGTGACAGTTGGGAAAAGGCTAATTGCTATGAACTACTCAGAAGAGTGGTAACTAGTTTAGTTATTGTTATGGAAGCTTTTAAAAAGATAATTAGATCTGGGTGGACAACCTCCCTGAAGAAATCTCACAGTGGTTAGAATTACTAACATCTAGACTAAGTTGGAACACGCTGATGGATATTGGTGAAGGGTTTTTTTTTGTGTTTGGTTTTTTTTTAATAGTGGTCAATTTGACCTTTTTTATTTTCATAAGAACATTTAACATCTCTGTCCTAACAAATTTTCACATGTGCAATCCAATGCTATTAACTATAGGCACAATATTGTATAGCAGATTTCTGGAACTTATCTAGCAAAACTGTAACATCATGGAAGTCGCTCTTCAGTGAAGGCCCTTCTTTGGGAAACAACAAATGGTGGTTTCTTACAGCACCAGGCTGAGAATTCCTGGCTATGAATCTCAGCTTTGCCATTAATGTGCTGTGGGAGATTACCTAAAATGTCTGGGACTCAATTACCTCATTGGCAAACTGAGATCATTGTACCTTCTTCACAAGATTGTTATGAAAACTTAAATGAATCAATACATGTAATACAGTAGTGTCCACACACACTAGTATTGTTATTTTTGTTATAATTATTTTTCAAACACATATATGCTGAACTCCGCCTACATTTATCTTTCAAATACTAAAATTCAGAATACAAGAGAAAGAACTTGACAACACATAGAATTTTCAAAGACAAAAATGATAAAAGAAAAAATTCAAATTATATTAAAATCAATTTATATTGGGGATGAGGAAAGGATTGACCACTAAAGGGTAGCATGAGTACAATTTGGGGATAGTGGCTACATGATTGGCTGTGGTGATAGTTACACAACTTTTTTTTCATTTGTCAAAACTATAGAACTTTATGCCAGAGTGAATTTTACTGTACAATTTTTTTTAAACCCTGAAAAAAAAAAACAGCTAAATATGCTAATAAAAAAAATGAGGATGAAGAGCAAGGGCAAGATTATTACTTAAATAACATCAGAAGGAGAAGGGATTGGTATGATTATGAGCCATGGCTGTAGAGAGCCCTTGAGAGTAGGACAGGTTGTCCGGAAGAGTGTGCATAACATTTTCCAAGAATTTATTTGGTTTGTTGTTTACCTGGTTTTTGCTCTTGTGACTAAGTCGTGAAGAATCTAAGTGTTAAGTCAAAAGTACCAGCAAGTTCTAACACCTAACAACACAGATGGGTATCATTTTTTAATCTTTCCATTTTGCTGTGGAACAATGAGCAGCATTCATTCAGAATGGGGCTTCATTTGAAAGCTGCATCTGCTTCAAAATGGCACCCTATTTCCAAATGAATGTAAAATAAGTGAAATCTTAACCTAGAGCATCAAAATTAATCTAGCAGTGGTAAATATAGTAACATAAAAAAATGAAGCTAGTTATTATATGTATTAAAATAGTAAAAAAAATATGTACCTGTTCTCTTAATTATTTTTATAAGATTATATTCATTACTTATGGTAGCTTTCATAGTGTTTCAAATGCTCAGACTTCAATAAAGACATTTTTGCTTGAAAGAAGTAAAACTTTTAAAATGGCATTTATTTCTTATATCAGAGAATTGTAATCTTTGTTCTACTTCTTTTACCTGCAAGAGTTACAGTCTAATTTACAGATACCTGCTTCTAACGGCAGGTGCAAATGTGTCTAGATATTCTGTCTGACAAAGTAAAACCTAATATCAGTACTGAGTGTGCCGAAACAGAGAAAAAGCACTGAGTGAATGTTGAACTTGTAAATAGTATGTTGCTGGTACTCAACTGATAATTAGTACAAAATCACATAAACAACGGGAGCCCTAATACCCCATATGGCTGCTGAAGAGGACCCAAGTTTGCCACCCCAAAATGTGCCTTTGGGATATTGACTTTAAACTCATTATTAAGAAACAAAAAAACTCAGAAAGAGTCTTTGGCCCTTCCCCTTCCCTGCCTAAAATAATTCAGATAGGAACACCTGCTTCAGGAAGGGAACCTTATACTAATCACCCTAGCATGTGTGTCCCAGACAGGAAGAAATCTAGCAAAGTCTGTTTCTCTCTGTGTCCCATTGTTCTGGATGGCCTAGCAAGAATTTGTGTCGCATTTGTTTGCTCTTTCTAATACCTGTGAATTACTTATTTCCCTTTGGGAACTCCAGACTACTGCCCCTCTTCTCCTTTGTCCAGATGGCATATATGCCTCAACTGCCCAATGTGTTTCAGGTCTCATATCTTATGACACCCCCAGTATGAACACCCTTAATTATAAATCTTGGGATTTTTCCTGTTAATCTATCTGTGTTAATATGATTATTGCCCAGATAGAAGAGCATAGAAGATGAAAGGAAAGTTTTATTTTTTGCACCGCCACACTGCTTAGCTGTGATTTCCTCAGGGGATCTGAATAACTAGAAGCCTAAAACCCTGGGGTATCCGCAAGCTGCCTTGTCTTCTGTGGGGCCTGGAAATGGTGAGAATTCTTTCTTTGTGACCAAAAATACCCCCTACATATATTCCTGAGAGAGTATCACCGCTCAAGGAAATACAGGCATTCAGGGTCCCTTTTGGCTGGATGCAAATGAATATTGACAATAAAATGAGTGACAGAAGACAGAGGAAGAAAGCAACAAAGCTGAAAAGTCAAGAAAACTAGAGGAAAGAGAGAAAAAAGATACATAGACACAACTTCTTTATATCAATATATAGTTAAAGAGAATATGACCAAAGGCAGAAATGGTCCAAAAGACAAGTTATTAATGAAAAATTATGCCTTGAATAAATCAGTTTATTCAGCTTTTTGATATCTGTATTAATATACATTGGATGTAATAATACTGTCAATATTAATAAGAGCTAACCTTTATAACAGACTTCTTATGTGCCAAGCACAACTGGTATAAATAAAAATCAGCAATCTGAAGTTTACATACATTTAGAAAACACCTTAGTGGGATATCACACTAAACACTACGATTTCTTGTTGACAGTCTAAGTGATTGCTTACCAGTTCAGGTTTTTCACGTGTGGTCAGTGCTTAGAACTTGGATGATAGTCAACAACATTACTAGTGGAGTGGACTGTCAAATTGTATTATACATACTCATACATATATAAACATATACTTTTATAAATATACATATACAGTATGAATGATTATTTTTTCAATAATTACCTTGTTGACATTTACAAATATATCCATTGATGTGATCTTCACAGCTGGCACCATTCAGACATGGTGATGAGAGACATTCATTTATATTAACTTCACAAAACTGACCAGAAAATCCAGGAAGACATCTAAGAGAGAAAAGTGAAAAATATATTGGGTTGTTGGAAGTCATGGTGCATTTTTGCAATGAAATACATAGAAAAATACACCATGACTTTTCCAACAACACAAGAGATGTATATATAATATATAAGAATCTATATTGTAGTGTCCATATTTGCCAAATTAAGAATAAAATTAAGCACATGAAGTATTTATTCATTATAGTTGATTTACAAGAAATCATTGAGTTGATACTCACCAGTTTTTTAAATGAAATTAAGACCACCTGATCTAAAAACAACCATAACCACAAACAAGAAAGGAAAACAGAAAAGACCCTGGCATCATAAGGCTCCATCATTGTAGATTTTACTCTTTCCATGCTACACTAAACCTACGTAGTTCGGTGTAAATATATGCATGCATGTGTTATTAAAGTATCAATGCATGTATTATAGAGGCCATTGACTAAAGCTGGTTATAAGATAGTCAGCAAACTTTTTAAATAGTGACAAGTTTGATAATTGTATAAAATGTTTCATAAATATTTAGTTATAAATTGATTCCCTTGTGACCTCTTTTAGCCCAAAACCTGACCACATTTAAATTTATAATGTAATTTTAAATTGAGCATATAATTGAAACCAATATAGAAGGTGATATAACATTTAAAATATTGGTTCTGTTTATTCTTGGTTTAATAGTAATGTCACCATTCACCTTGGAATTTTCTCATTTAAATGTGTCTTGAGAGATCCAATAACATGTAGCTGAGAACTTGTTTTAAGATTATATAAAAGGTTGAACTGTGGTCCTCAAACAGTAGGTCAAGTCCTAACACTCAGTACCTGTAAAGATTACCGTGTTTCGAGAAAGGTCCTTGCAAGTGAAATGAAGTTAAGGATCTTGAGATGATACCACTCTGAATTAATAGGGTGGACCCTAAATCCAAAGCCAAGTGTCCTTATTAGAGAAGAGGCACAGGGGCACATAGGGGAGAAGGCCATGTATAGGAGGCAGAAATTGGTGCCATGCAGCCCCAAGCAAAGGAACACCTGATGTTTCTAGAAGTTGGAAGAGAAAATGGGGGATTCTCCCTTAGATTCTTCAGAAAGAGTGTGGCTTTACTGACACCTTGATTTTGGATTTCTGTTCTCTATAACTGTGACCCAAAAAATTTCTGTTGTTTTAAGCCACCAAGTTTGTGATTTATTATGTCGTGTCTAGGAAACTAATACAAGAAATGACATCAATGTGGGCATCTGCTCAAGTGTTTCCTCTCCTTATGTTCTCTCCTCCCACTTTTCTTTTTTCTTTTTCTTTCTTTAATTTTTTCATTGTTAGTTTCAGGTGTACAGAACAACGCAATAGTTATCCTTTTTACCCTCATAAAGTAACAACCCCCCTCCCCACATGTACTGCCTTCTCACCCCCGATATCATGCTTATCTATTACAATTCCATTGACTCCATTCCCATTCTTTACTCCATGTCCCACGACTATATGTATATATAATTATAGTTGACATACAATGTTATTCAACATCAG